TAACTATAAAAGAGGATAAAAACTTACCTTTACACATATAGACACACACACACACACACACGTGAATATATACACACACATATATGTATGTATACATATATATATACATATATATATATATATGCATGCCGTGTACATATATTTTTCACTTAGGTAATTTTTTCCATAACTTAAAATATGGCTTATTTCTTTTCAACATGTAGCTGTAGGTGGTAGTAATGGCTGCTTTATTGTATCCATATATCCAATGTGTCTAGACTCATTACATATTGCCTCCTTTAATTATCACAGCACTCTGTGAGGAGGAACCATACAGATTAGGAAACAAGTTTTAGAGTGTGGAAAATATTTCCCTACTAGGGCTGGTAGTAAGTGGCACAGTTGACACTGAAATTCAAGGCAGTCATGACACCAGACCTAGATTTTGAATATCAAAGTAATACACCAAACCCGTGTTACCCTGCGTGGAATCCAACCATGATTCTCTGCAAACATTTGTCTCAATCTATTGTTGGTGTAATGGGTGCTACTGTTTAGTTAACATTTCTGATTTCACTGATATTTTCTTGTCTCAAGAAATGCAATCTAGAGAGCTGAAAAGTAATTTGTTAATAATCAAATCCACTCATATTTGGGTAACACAGATTTAAGTAGGAATTTTAAAATACATTTAAAAAACTTGTAGCCATTTTTATGGGTGAGTTGTCCAAAGTATAATCAATGATTATTATATTTCTCTCAACTGTTATGTGTTCCTATGGTATTTGGACTACGACTCTGGGCATAAACTATTTCCCCTTGTGTGGTTATAGATTATGCTGCTTTGATAAGGCAGTGTTGTGAGATTGTGAAAAAGTTTTTTTAATTTTTTCCCCCCTGGAAATTTTATGTCATCCTTGGGAAGTGCCCAGATATGTTCCTGAAAAGTAGAGTATAAATTCAACATTTGAGAATAAAATCAATTTTCAATGCTAATTATTTAAGGGAATACTCTAGTTAATTATTTTATGAGGCAAATTATTACATGCTCATTTTTATTTGGGGCAAATTTTGATTTTCATATATCTGTTTTGCTTTCCCTATATCTGTAGTTACCTGCAAAATTGTACTAAGTCACCTCCCCAACACTGATGCCACATATAGACATTTGTGAATGAAAAAGTAAGCCACCATATTTGTAAGGAACGTTTCTGAATCCCCAGCATCTCTGTTAATTGATCTTCATCTTTAACTTTGGAAGGAAATCAAGAGACATTATTTGAGCCTCTGCTATCACAAGGGAACTGAGGATGAACTTCCATTCAATAGAAGAGCAGCAAGCAGAGGCTGGAGAAAACTCTGGCTTGACAGTTTCCATCAGCAGGCTGGAGTCCTGCTTTTCTCTCAAATGACTTAATTTTGGTAAATTATCCTTGGGCCTCAATTATCCTCATTGGGAAAATGGAAGTAAAAATGTCTGCCCTTCAAGATAAACAATCCAATAAAAAAATAGGCAAAGGACTTAAATAGACACTTTTCGAAAGTGGACATACAGAAGGCTAAGAGACATATGAAAACATGCTCAAAGTCACAATCATCCGAGAGATGCAAATGAAAAAAACAATGAGGTACCATCTCACACCTGTCAGACTGGCTATCATCAACAAATTGACAAACATTGGTGAGGGTGTAGAGAAAAAGGAACCCTGGTGCACTGCTGGTGGGAATGCAGACTAGTGCAGCCACTGTGGAGAACAGTATGGAGTTTCCTCAAAAAATTAAAAATGAAACTCCTATTTCACCCAGTAATCCCACTTCTAGGAATATATCCCAAGAAATCAGAAATACCAATCAGAAAGGACATATGCACCCCTATGTTCATAGCAGCACAATTTACAATAGCTAAGATTTGGAAACAGCCTAAGTGCCATCCGCAACTGAGAGGGTTAAAGAACGGTGGTACACCTACACAATGGAATACTATGCTGCGGTAAAAAAGAAGGAATTCTTACCATTGCAACAGCATAGATGGAACTGGAGAGCATTGTGCTAAGCAAAATAAGCCAGTCAGAGAAAGATAAATATCACATGATCTCACTCATTTGTGGAATATAATGAACAACATAAACTGATGAACAAAAATAGATCCAGAGATAGAAGCATCAAACAGACCTTCAAACTTCAGAGGGAAGGCGGGGGGCGGGGAGGTGGGCAGCAGGTAAGAGATCAACCAAAGGACTTGTATGCATGCATATAAGCATAACCAATGGACACAG